TTCAGGTCTTTCATTCAGTTATCTCTGATTGCTTTGCACTCTCAGCCCACACAAGATCAAGAATGCTGTCACCTCTCATCTCTTTGCCTAGCCTCTCACATTTTCAGTGAATGAAGACAATTTACAGATGAGATCCAAATGGTAACAGCCCATTTAGCCAGCTACCATCACCGGTCCTAAGACTGGTTGTTTTACATATCCTTCCTCTCTTCTAAGATATTATTCATAACACTGGAGATAATGACAGGGTTTGTTCATGGAACATGATATATTCTTAATGAAAAAGAAAGGCTATCAACTAAATCCTCTTTTAGCTTATGTTTAAAAAGAATTAGGGGAAGACTAGTAGTGTGCCAGGGTCTTTGCCTCTTGATTTTTCATCTCCTTTAACTAGTTGTCAAGCTGTCTTAAATACATTCTGTGGCAGGTACAGTATAAATAAATAAACTAATTTTTCTTGATTTACTGTTTATCTTTCCAACATACTATTTTTCCTCATTCTAAAGAATTAAGTCTGTCAAATGGTAATGTCTTACAACACATTTTAAGGCTTATATTGTTAAATTTTCTACTCAAAACTTATAATTGTTTATTGTATAAGTTTCCTTAGAATAAAAAATAACTGCCACTCTTTCCCCTTTGTCAAACACTACCTACCAGTCCTGTGTACACTTTGCCCTTCATACCATACTATCAGGAAGAAAGGTATAATTCTAAATGTGTTCTTCACATCTAAGGTACTTTGTGACTACTCATTAGCATCCAGGAGCATGGTACTGCTTCGAAATTTAGGAGTCAGACTGAGGCTAGATTTGAAGCTCTGGCTCTGACACTAGACAGCAATGTGGCAACCTGGGCACATTACTGAGCCTTTCTGAGGCTCTCCTTGGCTATAAATGGAAATCATAAAGTCCCCATACTGGGCAGAAAAGGTTTGTGATAACGAATTGCAAATGCCTAGCAGAGACAGCTGTATAACAGAGTGAACAAAAAGCAGTTATGTTTTACAACTGCCCCAGAGCTAGATTTGGAGTATCTGATAAAAAGAAAACAATAAGCATAATTTGTTCTCATCTTAGCTGAAAGTGTTTCACACAGACGGTTGTATTCCAGGTGGACAATCTATTCATCTAGCCCGGGCAGAACTATTCCCAAACCTCAATTACCAATGTATAAGATTGAAAAGGTACTTTCCCTAGAGGCTTCATTCCAAATAATGGATTACACCTAAAGTGTCCCCAAGTTAGCAGGCCTTTTCCTGTGTGTCTATCTCATATATTCTAGGAATCATAGAAATAAAGTTTAAAAATGCTGTTTTTTAATATTTAACATCCCCTGTAGGAAGGAGCACTTTTAAGGATAGCAGATTATCCTGAGTACTTCGTTAAAACATATATTCTAATATTTAACAACAAAAACAAGTAAATAGCTAACTAGCCCTAGGGGGTAACAACCTACCACATAAGAGGAGAAAAATCAAAAGCGGATTTTAAAACTTCATTCCATCGAACCTTCATAAACAGATCAAGAGAATATAGCATTTAATAACAAGAAAACATGTTATGGAACTTGAACACAGCACTGGTTTTCTTCATATATCCTAATGCACTGAAATGGCATGCCAAGAAAGTTTCTTTTTCCCCTCACATGTCTATTCTGATGTCATTTCTATTTTATCTGCTGGACATTCTATTTCTTTTTGTTCAATGTAAAAATTATCCTTTCAAGATGGAAGAACATCAGTAATTTGGCATGCTAATTTGTTGCTAAAGATTTTGGAAAAATTGAGATGAAAGGGAAAAGAAAAATTGTCTCATTAACTTGGGCCTAGTAATTAGGAATCTGTTATACTTTATAATATAAAGTATAACAGGCTAAGCTTATCTTTGTATTACTTGTTTTTAAGTGATGCTTTGTAAGTTAAAAAGCACAAAAGAAATATTCAAATGAAATCAGAGAAACAGTATGTTGAAAGAATTCTAAAATCTTTCTAGTTTTACTTATGAAGTCTGTGTCAGTCACGTATTCTAGACAAACTGATCTCTGTTCTCTAAATACACAGAGTATTTTCTTATCTCTGTGTCTTTGTTGATGCTAGTCTATTTTTGTAATGCACCTCCATCCTCCACCCCACATCCCTACCTTCTAAAATTCTACCCTTCATTTAAAACCCAGCTCAAATAGTTACCTCCTCAATAGGGCCTCCCCTGGTCTCTTCTCATGCCAGAAATTCCCCCCCTCCCCAGTAGCCACATAAACAGGAGACATAAAACAAAGCACTTATACTTGGTGAAGAGTCTTCTTAAGGAAGTAACCCTACACAACAAATACTATCTCAGTATCAGCTTCCAGAACCAAATGAACAACTCTAGTATCTCAAATTTGATTTGGAATACACTAGAGAATTTAAACAAGAATCTATGCCAGTGTTGTATATGTTGCAAAGGAGTACACTACATACATGTGTAGTATACACAGACACAGACACACACACACACACACACACACACACACACACACAGACACTTTGAAGAGATATGATGCCCGGCAATATGTGAGTGCTTTTAAAAAAAACTAAGAAAAAAAACAAAACGAAATTAAAAATAAAGAAGCCAACAAAAAAAAGTATGAACTACTGTCCTAAATTCAAAGTGAAAGCCCCTATTCATTTCTGGGAAACAAAATCAAGAATTTAGGGTCTATAAGAACATTTAAAGCAGCTTGGAGTTTGTCACTTGTCTTATTTAGGAAGGGTTAGAATTTTTATTCTCACAAAAAGGAAACATGGATTTTGTTCTAAATCTGGAACTGTTAGAATGGCTTTGTGAACTCTAGTAAAACAATGAGATATTTAAATATATCTTATGTTTATATAATACAGTTATAGACATCACATGTAATTATATAATGTACATAATTCTATAATGAACAGTATGGAATTCAGTTATCAGTAAATGTAACATACCTCAAGGAATAGAAGGGTCACTTCTATTGTTATAACCTAAAACTCTGACTGAGCTCCTTAAGTCAAACTCAAAACACTGTGACTAGTTATAAGAAACAATTTGCTTAAATTGCGGATCAGGGCCATTGCGAGGGTCTGAAAGACTTATCGATACAGCCTTAAGAAGAAAAAACTACAGGTCAAACAGTCCAATGAGATGGATGATCTCAAACTTCAGTGTTCAAAAGTGATCTCTGAAGCTAGACAAAAAAGGAAACTGGGGCTTAAATGTAGGAATAGCTTGAATTATGATCACTTGGCAGGGGGTGGAGGGCAATGGTGAGACAGAAAGGCAGACATAATTTCTAGAGGAGCTGAGTACTTTTCCTGACCACCGCATTAAACCTGTACCTTCCTTCCTCTCAGCTTCCAACAGTGCATGCCCTCTTAGTAGCTTCTGTTTACCTACCTTTCCTTTCCATGGTAGTCCTAATCCTACTGGAGTTAGACTAAGATCCTCTTTCACTCATCATCTTGGGGCACAATGATAAAACTATTTCATTAGTTAGCTCATCTTTCAATGGCCTTTTAGATAGCAAAATTTCTGAGTGGTATCTGAGGCTAACTCATCTTAAATATCACTTCAGAGCTAACAGTGAGGTAGATTACAAATATAAATGTGTTATTTTTTTAAATGTGCCCTTTTTTGGACAAAAATCTTCTCTTCTTTGAGAACCACTGATTTAGACTCAAGTTTTTAGAAGTCAAAGATTCTTATCAATAGCCATTTATTATGTCATCTAAAAGGTTTGTTTTATTAAGTGCCTATTAAGTGTAAGGCACTGTATTAAAGTCTGAGTATAAATAGTGGCTAGACAGATAAAAGCGCTATTCTCATCTAATAGGGCATAATAATAATAAATTAAAAATAAATATGTAATGTTTCAGATACTGGCAAGCGCTATGAAAAAAAGAAAGAAAGAATGAGCCTAAATGTGATTTGGAGGCAAGAAAGGGGGGCAGAGAAGTCAGGGGAACTAAGAGTGCACACCGAGGCATAAATGAGTTCGGCATGTTCCAGCAACAGAAAACTGGTCTGTATAGCTGGGACACAGTAAATGGGGAAAACATGGTAGCAAATGAGGTTAAAGATAAAAACCAGAGTCAGATCATGTACAGTGTTAGATGCCTCAGGAAAAAGTGTAAATTTTATCTGGGTACAGTAGAAACCCATTGGAAAGACTTAAACAAGAAATGGATTTATGTTTTTAAAAGATAACCCTGGCATTGGTATGAATGAAAGATTATTCCAAACAAATGCTTAATAAGAATAATTTGATGTTGGAAATGTAGCATACTTGCTTTTAACTTTAAATGAAATGACAGATGGGTAAGGGAATACTGATCCCCATCCTTGCCCAAGAAAAAAAGGAAGGAGCCACCTGACTTCAAATTTCTACTCTGCTGTATACTGGCCTTTAAAAAAGTATTCAATCCAAATTAAGGAACAGTAGTGCTGAAACTAATCCATAGCTCTGAAAGCCCTAAGAAAAGCACATTGTTTTTTCAATCCCCCACCTTAACACTTGCAGGTCTAAAACCAAAAGAACAAGCTTCAACATGATCCTCTAAGAGGCTTTAATTACTGTAAGGTCTCTGTAACTTGCAGTTACTAAATTGTCATTTATCTCAGATTCATTAATATAAAGAAATTAACCTTAGTTTCTCTGAATGTATTTGATAAGATGACTAATGATGTAAATAAGATATAAAAGGAATTGTTTAATCAATAAAATTATAAATCTGTAAGAAACACCTGTTTATAAGTCAACCTTTGATAAACTGACTGGACACTGATCTCTCATCAATGTTGTTTCCTTCTAAGAATTTACTTTAATATTCTACTTCAAATCACTTCAATGCAACAAAATTCTGTACTGTTTTTAAGACTCTACAATAAACATTTTTCACTAATTTATGTGACGATCCTTTCTTTTAGGTTGAACTAGCAGTAAGCAAACATTATTAGCATAGCAAATATAATAAATTATCATACCTCTACTTTAATTCTCTTTGGAGATAATTCATCTCTTTCTCCACATTTTGACCTGAGAGGAATGAGAGAAAAAAACTTGAGAAGGTAACAAATTTTATTTAAAGGCATCTCAATCTACAAACTTCCACCAGAACATATAACCACGCACCAGGAGACATTCATAATGAACAGTGAAATAATTAAGGAGAGTTTTCATGGTTTCTAAACTAATATTAGGGAAATATACAGACAGTTACATACATTTTAAAAGGCCACTACCTAAGAACTTCCCTAACAGAAAGTACTCAATAAGTATGCAATGATTATCACATAATGAAAAAGGAAAAAATATGAAGGATGACTGTATTTCATGATATCCTCTTATGGATCAGTAGGAAAAATTTAGGATAAAATGACAAACATGACCATTTATGAGGTGAATGCTTAAGGATGCATTTTGTCTATTCACTGAAACTACAGATGTACTTTCTCTTAATCTAGAGTTTTCTCTGCTGGGAATCTATCTCAGAGGTACCTACACATATAGCAAACACTACTGCCAATTAAACTATAAGTCATTAGTTGTTAAATTATACCTTGAACGATGTTAAAATGTGAAAAACTATCTCAGAATCAATAAAATATCATTATGATTGTATGATGTTATTTATTGTATTTATGACAAAAGACTAGAAACAACTCAAATATCCATCAATAGCAGACTGGTTAAGTGAATCATGGTACATCCACATAATGCAATACCATGTAGCTGTAGAATCTGAGGAATCTGTACACATACTAATATAGCAAGCTCTCCAATATGTTAAAAGCAAAATATAGAATAACACAGATATGTGCTATCTATTGCTTTTTTGAAAAAAAAGGTGAAAATGAGAAAATACATTTGTATTTGTTTACATGTGCATAAACAAGCACTGGAAGGATGAAACAGAAACTAATAAAACTACCTATGTTGAGGAGAGAAACGGGGGTAAAAAGAGACAGGAGTGGGAGTTCAACTTTTTTTGTATTACCTATTTACAGTGTGGCTCCTACATTATGTAAAAGTGTTATGTATTTAAAAAATATATTTAACTTAAAAGAAGAGATATAAATGTAAATACTATAAGAAACAGCTAAAAACTGCTGAAAGCATTTGCCTCTGGGGTGTATTCAGAAGGGAAAGGGGATGGAACAGGGGAACTGCCGAGTTTCATAGTAAGCCCTGTGTACTAAATGACTTCTTAAATCATGTAAATGGTATTTCAAGGTTTACAGAACTTTGATTTTAAAGAATTACTTAAAAGAAAGCACTCAGAAAGAATTTTGTATAGTATAGTGATTGTATAGTATAGTGTATAGTATATGTAAAGTCATCAAACCAGCTCTTGATTATCTAACTATAACAAAAAAATCTTACAAATAATCCTGTAATATTGCTGCATATTCTTACCCTGTTCATTTATTTGTGTAATTTTACTTGTCAATTTGTAAATATGTGGATCCTTTAGGGAAGGGCAGAAAATGTAGCTGTTATGAGTTAGGGAAAATGGTGATAAGCAAATGCAATATAATGGTGGTTTTCAAACTTGAATATTCACAAGAATTATCTGGGATGCTTATTAAAGTTTGGATTCCAAGGATCCATCCAGAGATTGTAATTTATTAGGGCTGGGGAAGGTGCTTTGGATGTGATTTTTCAACACACACTCCATCACTCTAATGCAAGCAGTTAATTCCATTTACTCAAAAAAGCAATGGCATGCCTAACTGATGTGCGCTGGAAATCAGGGTCAATGCAGAACCAAGTGAATAAAACCAATGCTTAGGGTTCACGTAAAGATAAGATGAAGAAAAATATGGTGCATTTATGTTAAATTTTAAAATCACCATTGCTTTTCAACATTGTTTATTTCAAATGCATGTTCCATATTCTACTTGCTAGTACACTAGTATCTCCCAATTTTCCCTTAAATACTGGTCAATGAAATCTTTTTACCTATTCAGATACTTTCATTGGATTGCAAACACCTTGCAAAAGAAGCCATGCTACTTCCTCAGAGAGTTCAATGAGTTCATGTGTTAATAGTTGTACAAATATGTCTATAATGCTGACTAACTAGAATCCCATCACAATACTCAAAACCAGGGTATCTATGTGAGAGAAGAAATGTCTAAAACCACCAGCAGAACAATGCTATAGTGCTAGGAACTTCCAAAAGAACAGACAGACAAAAGAGAATTAAATGAACCCAGAGTCACTTTGGCAATGAAGTTTTGAAAAGTCACTTCACTGTTTAATTTTGTAGAACTATAATCACATTTCTTTTTCAGAAATGCTTACATTTTATCAATGGGTGGTATTCCAAGCTCTACTTCTATCAAGTAATGCAAAATACTGCCGATTAGTTTAACACTTACTTGGTAGTTCTGTAAGTATATTTATAAGTGACTTCTCGAGAAATCTGCCTAGCCAGAGCAAAAAGTTCATCTCTTCTTGTCAGCAGGGCATTATCCTTCGCACAGAGTTGAGCAGCTGCTTCATTAACAGTGAGCTGCATATCCAAAATAAAGTTTTAAAAATTATATTTTATCAACTTAAAAATTTTTTTCACTTAAAAATATTAAAATGTCACATCACTGTATAATTAAATCATAACTTACAAATATTAGGCTAGTCCTTATTCCTAATTAGTCTTAATGCCTAATTGAAGAAGAAAAGACAACTACCATCTCTTATAACACAAACTAAGCAGTTATCCTGGTTTTATATATTTACATGCTTTACTTTTGTTTAGGTATGACAGTTATGAAAAGCAAATAAAATAAAAACAAAAGTTAAAAAAAAGTTCTGCATCTCATTTTTCTTATGAAAAGCCAAGGGATTTGACTATATGATATTGTGATAATATTTATATTATTTATATAATATTTAGATAATAACCAAAAGTGAATATACATGTGGTCTGACAGGTATTTTTTTCAATGTGAACTGACATGAAAATTCTTAAGAAATAAAACTGAATAATTTTAGTTAAATATCAAATCACTTAGTAAAAAATAGAGTTATCACAAATTAGGGCTATAATGGAAAATCAAGGTCTTTAAGATTCATCTGATTCTACTCATTCATCTAAGTGTTAAAATACTGTCAATAGAAAGTTTCTAGTTGACCAATACCTTCTACTAACATTGAAAATAGCAAATGTTATCCTAAACTCAAAACTTGTAATTGTTTAATAAGCTAGAAAGTTTTTTTTCACATAATTTTTGTCAATTTAAATAGTAAATTGCCAAGAGTTACAACACCTTTTCTTTGAAAAAAAAAAAAAAAAGCAAGACACATCCTCAGTCCCAGCAAAAGGAGAATGGTAGCTGAGAGCAGGCAGACCTGAGGTGCGCATCAGCCCATCACTGGCCAGCTCTATGCCTCTGACTATGTGAAGACTCAGGGCCTCAGTATTCTCAGAGGCAAAGTGGGATAATACCATTACCTCAAAGGACTCATTTGCCATTGGGGAGACCAAGTTTTTGTTAGTATTAGTCCTTGTCTTCCTTCCATAAGAAATCAGGCATTTATTTACTCTTTCTTCCTACCCAAGAATCCCACTTTACTCACAATAATTTTTGTTATTCAAAATTTTTGAAAATACAGAGAAGCAAAAGAAGAAAATAAAGGCAACATGCAATTCTTCCATCCAGAAGCACTTACTATTTTAATGTGTGTTATTCCAATATTTTTCTATGTATATGTAAATATATAAATAAGTATGGTAATACAGATTTGTAATCTCCTTTTTTGCACTTATGTATGCTGTTTTTTTACTTTTATCATGAATTAAGGCAGAGACTTGGCTTGTTTACATCCATATCTGAAATGGGTTGGATGCTCATTAACTATCTATCTGTTGAGTGACCACTGAATTTAAATATTCTTTACAATATAATTTTTACTACCTAGACATAAAATATTCCACTGTAGGAGAGCAATACATTACTTAATCATCCTCACTCTGGACTTTAAACTACCCCAAGTTTTTCATGTACTACAAAGAAAGCTACAAAGAACATTCTTAAAAATGTGCATCTTTGCACATATATTCAATTATTTCCTTGCAATAATTCCTACAAATAGACTTGCTAGGTCACAGGATATATTAAATGTTAAGAGACTTATATATTTCACCTTATTACTCTACCGAAAAGTTGCTCCAAATCATAATGCTACCGACAATTATATGAAGAGTCCATTTCCCAGGATTTGGACCAACACTGGTTATTAACTTTTAAAAGCTTTACCAACTTGACACATTTGCAATGACATTTGGATATAGTTTGCATTTCTTTGACTATAAAACTGAAACTTTTTCTTATATTTTTGACTTATACTAAAATCTGCTTGCTCATGGCAGTTGCCTGTTTCTTCTTCTGCACTATTTTGTTTCTTAGGGTCTTTAGGAATTCTTTATGTATTAAAATCACTAAATTTTCATCACATGTACTGGGGTTTCTTTTTCATAGTTTGTCATTAGCCTTATAGCTTTTATCATTGGTGCCACAAATAGAAACTCCCTTCTCACCCTACCAATACATAAATGTTCTCCTATAATTTAGACTAAGAGTTTTATTTTTCCCACTTAAGTACTTAATCCATCTAGAATGTGTTATCGTATATGATATATGGTGTGATATAGATTAGATATCTAACATACTCTTCTCTAGATTTTCAACTGTAATTTACACTCATTTATTCTCAAATAATTTGGCTACTACCAACAAGGTTATTAATAAGTCCAGGCTTCCTATTTTAAATCCATATCAGAATATCAAAGCATTATAGGAAAATTTATTTTCAGCCTTCTCCCCTCCTCCTAAACAATCATCAACAGATCAGTCTCTTCCCTAAGTGCTTCTGAAAGACACAACATATTGGAGCTGAAAGTGAAATGTACTTTAAATTTTCTTTCTTCCTAAATAATTTCCTAAATAAATTCAATTTCAGCTTAGCAGTAGCTACAATGACCTTGAAGACCCTTCTCAAGTTGCTTTTTATGTAGCTGTTTCTTTTTTGTACTGGTAAATCTAAATTAGTATGGAGAACTTCTGATTGTAAGATATTTTCATTGACAACATTTCTGAAGTACCAGCTTATGCACAACCACAGAAAATAACTTTTCAATATAAACTGGTAACATTGTTCTGGTATTCCTTCCAGCATCCTACCAGCAATAGAAACACAGTCTTTTGTTATTCAATTCAGACTTAACAGACTGAAAAAGCAAACTGAACTCTCCAGGCCTCCTCAGGGAGCTTTCTGGTAGAAACTAAGGATAAAGAAATTACTATAGTTCACCTCAAGGTATAATAAGAAGTAGATTCATCAAGCTTCCCCCTCAAAAATGTATTTCTGTATTTTCTATATTTCTGCTCTCAGTTGCTAATAATTAAATCAACTATTATGACATATTTAAAAATGAAAATGATACAAATACTCCAAAAAGTAGTCAGTCACTGCAGCACCATGCTAGTAGCTTTTTAAAAATTCTAAGTTACTAATCTTGTTAAAAGCATAAAATAAGATATTCTTTCTGACTGGTTTACTTACATCCTCCACTTCCTCTTTTTAAGGCTAAAAATACCAAAATTCCACTCACATCTTAATGTGAAAGATTTCTTAAAGTCAGCTTTCCATCATTTACAATTAGACTTTTATAATTAAAAACATTAATTATAAACTGGACAACTACATGTAAGACAATGAAACTCTTACTCTCTAACTCCATACACAAAAGTAAACTTGAAATGGATCAAAGACCTGAATGTAAGTCATGAAACAATAACACTCATAGAAAACATAGACAAAACTCTCTTGAATATAAACATGAGCAACTTTTTCATGAACATATCTCCTCGGGCAAGGGAAACAAAAGTAAAAATGAACAAGTGGGACTATATCAAACGAAAAAGCTTCTGTACATCAAAGGATACCATCAGTAGAACAAAAAGGCATCCTACAGTATGGGAGAATACATTCATAAATGACATATCCAATAAAGGGTTGACATCCAAAATACAGAAAGCTCACGCACCTCAACAACCAAAAAGCAAATAATCTGATTAAAAAATGGGCAGAGGATCTGAACAAACACTTCTCCAAAGAAGAAATTCAGATAGCCAACAGGCACATGAAAAGATGTTCCACATCGCTAATCATAAGAGAAATGCAAATTAAAACCACAATATCACCTCACACCAATAAGGATCACCAACATCCAAAAGACAAACAACAACAAATGTTGGTGAGGAGGATGTGGAGAAAGGGGAACCCTCCTACACTGCTGGTGAGAATGTAAATTAGTTCAACCATTGTGGAAAGCAATATGGAGGTTCCTCAAAAAACTAAAAATAGAAATACCATTTGACCCAGGAAATCCACTCCTAGGAATTTACCCTAAGAATACAGGATCCCAAATTCAAAAAAAAACTTATCACGCCTATGTTTATCGCAGCACTATTTACAATAGCCACGAAATGGAAGCAACCTAAGTGTCCATCAGTAAAAGAAGATGTGGTACATATACACAATGGAATATTATTCAGCCATAAGAAAACAAATCCTACTATTTGCAACAACATGGATGGAGCAAAAGGGTATTATGCTCAGTGAAATAAGCCAGGTGGAGAAAGACAAGTACCAAATGATTTCACTCATATGTGGAGTATAAGAACAAAGCAAACACTGAAGGAACAAAACAGCAGCAGACTCACAGAACCCAAGAATGGACTAACAGTTACCAAAGGGAAAGGGACTGGGGAGGGGAGTGGGAAGGGAGGGATAAGAGGATTAAGGGGTACTATGATTAGCACACATAATATAGGGGGGCACACAGTATAGCACAGAGAAGATAAGTAGTGACTCTACAGCATCTTACTATGCTGATGGACAGTGACTGTAATGGGATATATGGTGGGGACTTGATAATGGGGGAATGTAGTAACCACAGTGTTGGTCTGAGCATAATACTGTCTATCAATGATACCTTAATAAATTTAAAAACTTTAATTTTTTATTATAATATTTAACAATCAAATGACTGTGGCTTTCTATTAAGCTTTGTTAGCATAAAAACACTGTGTGAATGCTGTGTGAAAAGGAGGCTCAAGGCAATCAAGACTTTCATTCCCAGCACAGGAAGGGTTCTGGTGCCATAACTGGCCCCTTTCACAGATAATGACTGAAAAGGTTGGATTAAATAAAGAGGGAAATATTATCTCAAATGCATCAATAAACCAGGAAGAGAATAAGGACTATTCATGCTAAAATGAATGAAGACAGTATCTCAAAAGGACTAAGTTGAGGACAGTTGCTAGTAAACTAAATGAACCTGAACTTCGGTCTTCACAGCCTTGCAGGGCTGGTGAGTCTAAAGCAGGAAGAGGGAAAGCCCAGGATCCATCAAAGGTGATAAGTCTATTCTTCCATAAAGCTGTTATCTGGAAGAACTCTACATACTGAATGTAAAGCCAAATTAGAAATACACCTGGACCCCCAGCA